AGCTCGCCGCCGCGGCACAGCTCCGTCACCGCGAGGATGCGCCCGCCCTCCGCGTACACGCCGCGCAGCGTCACTATGTGCGGGTGCTGGCTGTATCTGTGCACAACACAAACACAAATGTACACACATCTACTAATCTATACAAACATAATAAAGCGTAAACCCACACTTCTTTGTGGCATAGTTCAGCAATCACAGAATATTTTTGAATAATTGTTTCTTTAATAAAAGGCCCTACACTTACGACACGCTTTAGGCTATATATTTTCACGCTATTAAACTTAGAGGGTAAAAAAAAATTGAAAAAAACCTCTATGTGGCAAAGGGACCATAAACTACAAGCTGCCAACATCAAGGAAGCAAGATTATAAATTGTCAAAGACCTTTGTTGTCATTTGTGCATTTGAATTTTGACATTTGCATTTGAGAATTTGACAAATGTGAACAATAAATCATTTTTTTTTATAATGTGGATGAAACCGCACGGGAACAGCTAATACGTGTATACTAATATGACGCGTCCGGAAGTACCGTTTAGACCTTGAGCCGACAAAAATATTGCCAAGGACTTTATTCAAAACACACTTTCTGTATCGTAACGTTACTCATCTATCAGATATATAGTAATGTTGCCAAACTTGAGGCAATTTGGTAGTTAAGGGGCACATACCTTAACAAAATTTCAATTTCTTCACGAGGGTCATATTGCATTTTGTCCATAATTTTAACAGCATATTGGACTCTAGAGGTTTTGTGCTCGCAGAGACGGACGACGGAAAACGACCCTGTTCCTAATTCACCCATTAATCTAGAATATAAAAAAACATATAGAAATTAATCTTACTATCACACTAATATTATAAATGTAAAAATTTGAATGGATGTATGTTAAAATGTATGGCCTAGAATGCTGAAGAAATCTCGATTAAATTTGGCATAGATGTAGGATAATCTGGAACACATAGGCTTACTTTTATTTATTTTTTTTATTTCCATGGGGACAGAGTCGCGGGCGAAAGTGAATTTTGTAACTCAACTAGCTTTCGCCCGCGACGCCGTACGCGTGGAATTAACAAAAATTAAAGTGAGTAGCCTACAAGTTCTCCCAGACGATCCTCTATGTCTATGCCAAATTTCATTGAGATCTGTTTAGCCGTTTAGGCTACAAACTCTGACAAACATTTATCCATTCATTCATCCATCCATCCATCTAAGCTTTTGCATTTATAATATTTGTAAGATGTTACTCAGCGATATTGTTGCTTTTTAAAAGTGAAAGTATTTTTTAAAATCGGCCCAGTAGTTTTTGAGTTGTTTCAATACATACAAAAATACAAATATTTGAAACATTAGTTTTATAATGAAATAAAGAACGATAAACAAATAAAATAATTGTAACTAACCTGTATTCATCAAAGAAGTTATTTCTATTCACAAAACCAGACCAAAACTCTTCGGTGGATGTCTTCGCTTGTGGCGCGTGATTTTCATTTTGGTTCACGAGGGTTTTGTTGTCGTCATTGAGCAAACATGGCGCTACGAAACTGAATCCTCTGGAAGGAAAATAATTTACATGTTATACTAGCTGTTCCCATGTGGCTTTATAATTTATAAAAACTTTATTTTATTGTTTACATTTATCAAATTCTCTAATGCAAATGTTAAAATTCAAAGGACAACCATGGCATCCTTGCTTCCATGATGTTGGCACTTGTCTCTTTCTCACACTAAGGATTTTTCCAATTTACCCCTGAAGTTTAATATCTCGAAAATATATAGCCTAAAGTGTGTCGTAAGTGTAGGGCTTATTATTAAAATAATTATACAAAAGTATCCTGTGATTGCTGATATCCTACACCACTAAGTAGTGTGTGTTCACGCTTTAGTATAAAAAAATAATAAAATAATAATTAGTATAGTATAGATGTATAATACCACAATACTTCAACCGAGGCGACAACGCGTGATTGAATGAAAGAAATTAATGTAAATCACGATTTCTTTTACATTTTACAAGCATTGTATTACTTTTCCAGTAAATAAAAACATAACAACAAAGGTATAAAAGCAGACAACATTGTAACGATCAATTTATCTATTATGGGTATAAGCACATAAGCATCAAAGTTGATGTTAAACCAATTACTTGACATGCATAGTTTGAACATATTTGCAACACATTTTATTACCAAGGTTATATTATGCTATGTTATCGTGAATTTTTATGTCGATACATATATTAGTACATAAGTGAACTTTATTACAATTTTTATAGAAATTGTACAAAAGCATGAACGTGAAACTTTAGTCATTTTTAATCTTAAACAATAATAAAACTTGGTTATAAATAATGGGTCATTTCGTTATTTTGGCAAATTGGAGTAGCCGCCAGGTCGTTTACCTTATACTTAACTAAAAAAAAAACACTGCATATCTTTTAAACTTGTTATTACTGTTTTTCAAAAAGTTTTACATGTTTCTCTACAGAAAAGCTATGGGAAATACATATTTTAGTATATTACCTGAATAACTCGTGTGCATTAGCCGAGGCGGGTACTCCGGGGGAGTCGCGCGGAGTTCTGCACGTGAATTCTGAGTCGAAGTAAAATGCGTCGTCGGCTCTCGACACCGCCGGCCGGAATGGTGGAATCACCTGCAAAAAACGTTAAAACATTTAATATAAGTAATAATATACAACAATCATTAAAAATGTTAGTTAAATTATATCAAAAGGTATATCTTCCGTACAGACAGGTTAAGGGCCAGTTAAGGGTACTGCTCAGGGCGCCCAGGGCGGATAGAAAAACTGCGGTCAGGCCATTGATAGCGCAAAACCCTGCACTGTTTTCTTACAACGTTTATTCTAAGACAGAATTCTTAGTAACATCTAATCTAAGGGTAGTTGCACACCTTTAACTAAACAATCGCACAACTTGCGGTTGTCGATTGTTTCCCAGCCACTTCAACTGTTTAGTTGTATAACTAAAAATCGACTAGTGTTCGCACCTCCCTAAAAGATCATAGAAATCAAAGCGAGACTAAACAGTCGTGCGATCGTTTAGTTTCAGGTGTGCACACACTCTTAACCTAAAATGTTTTACGTAATCATAGACACAATAAGGTGTGTTTCATGATCAATCACCTTTATCTTGGCACAAACAAACTTTGGTAAACACTGTGTTCATACAAATAGTTTCTACTGGTAAAACATTTGTATTAAAACATGTCATCTCTATACTATCTTTGCAAAAATTGAGATAGTAATATTTTTATACAGGGTGTATGGAAAAACTAACCTCTTTCTTGACTAGTGCTTCCCAATCAATGCTTGTAAAGAATTCATGGTTTTTTATATCTTCAATGCCGTTAGGGCCAGCACCTAATCTGTAAAATACCAGTTAAAATCTTATTGACTTCCAAACATAACTTACTAACATTATAAATGCAAAAGTTTCAATGGATGTTTGTTTGTTAGAGTTTGTGGCCTAACAACTGATTGGATTTCGATGAAATTTGTCACAGATGTAGAACATAATCTAAAAGGACACATGCTTATATATTCTTCCAGAGTATTGTACTTTAGTATTTTTTATTTCGAGCGAACGATGTCGCGGTCGAAAGCTAGTATTACATTAGTTTATATCTTACCTATTCAATGGATTTCGTTTAAACAATGCACGGAGTAACGATTGAGCTTCTTCACTTAAATTTGAAGGCATACCAAGTTTGGCTTTCAAAATCTGTGTCATAGTTTCATGTCTTGTTGAACCGTGGAATGGTAAGTTGCCTGTTAGCATCTCAAACTGAAAGTAAACAATGATTTTAATATAAAACTGCACAATAATTTTATGTAATCCACTCAATTCAATTTAATGACGCTTCAGCTAGAACTGACAGAAATGAAAGTTTGTAGCGGGCTTTACATAAATATTACATACCATAAGTACTCCAAAAGACCACCAATCAGCAGCAAAGGAATGTCCTTTTCTATTAACAACTTCCGGTGCCATATATTCAACAGTGCCGCAGAAACTGTAAGCTTTATCACTACTGGGAGGAAGTTTTGAAAGACCAAAATCGGTAAGAGCTATATGACCGTCTGCGTCTAACAAAATATTTTCAGGTTTTAGATCCCTGTATATGATACCCAACTTATGAACATGTTCTAAGGCTAAAGCTAGCTCAGCTAGATAAAACTTAACATCTTCTTCTGTAAACATTACCTAAAACAATTCATTCAAACATTAATACTATTCCACTATAGTTCATTATCCTTTTAGTTATATTTACCTCTTTACTCAGTCGCGAAAATAGGTCGCCGCCACGAAGGAAGTCCAGTATTAAATATAATTTGCCCGCAGTTTGAAAGGCGTAATGTAATTTAACAATAAATGGATGGCCCATTTCTACTAAAATATTTCTCTCCATTTTTGTACGTTCTCTATCTCTTACTTTTAATGTAGCTTTCTTAAGTACCTTGAACAAAATTATTACATTACAAGTCTTAAAATGGTAAACTCTACATTAAATGAGTGTAAAATAAATTTCAAGCAAATAAGGCAGAAGTTCTAGATATTTATAGTAATTTCTGGTGTAAATTGCCAGAAAGTGAGAATATTTATGAATAATAAGATCAAAGAATAAAGTTAATACCTTCATAGCGTAAAGAGTTCCAGTATCAGCACCACTAACTTTTCTTACTAAAAATACTTTTCCAAAGGAACCTTCACCGAGGACTTTGAGCAATTCAAATTGTGATGGATCCGCCTTCTCGTGGCCCTCCTTGACAACATCTTGTAATTCCACTTCCCGTTCATAACTGATATCACTTGAATCAAGGCTTTCAGTTGTCGAAGTTTGACGGGATTCAGCTAAATTTTCAACAACCATCGGAAGACTGTTTGTTGATTGGTTACTGAGACCTCGCTGTAGCAAAACAAGACAATTTACTTATTTGATTGCTTAAATAATTTATGAAAAATAAACAAATGGTTGGTTGTTGAAATCAGAAAACTAGTCTTGCTAATAAATAATATGGGTTTTAAAATAAAATAGTTCAGTTGTCATTATTTCCTTAGATTACTCAACATTGTTTACATACAAGGTAAACCTGATACACCAATGAAAACTTAAATAAAACAATCTACAATACCTATTACTCAGACTACAGTCAGAGCAATAGGAATAGTGTATAGTCACTTAACAAGGAATTTGTACCTTTAATACTGTTCAGTTGTTGTATTTTAAGGAACTAAACTCAAATAAGGTATGGTTACTTTGACTTCACACTTGTTTATGAAGAAGGTAAAGGAAACTGATGTAAACAATCTTCTATGGCTTCTTTGTTGAATTGCAAAGATAGCTGCTTCAATAGCGTGTTATAAAGGTATTTATTTATAACACCCTACTGCAGCATTTATCACAAAGTCGCATACACCACTTTTGTGGCTTACCTTGAATGTAAATTTAAAACATAGTTTGTTGGTATCTTAAGGCAATTGAGTTAGGTAGTGGCTATTATTAAAATAGATTTCATATATGTCAATTGTGTAAATGTAAACTATAGTTTAGTTTTCCAATGAAAACTAGATGCTGTGTTATCTGTTTTAATGGTAAGCTGAAGTATTAATATATTCTATAAATTGTATGGCTACTTATAAATGCATGAATGTATATGGAGGCATGTCAAAGTTGCAATTAGTTTAGATGTTAATTTAATAATTTATCCGATTGAGTACTGTTGACCAAAACTGAGAAACTCTATAGTGACTGATTAAAACTGGATTAAGATTTAAAAACTAAATATTGTATTTGTGATAACAGTTGCAAATATTGAATGTACTTATTTCTTATGATTAAAATTCACGTATGAATAGTAAACAATAATAGGAAAAAGTTAAGCTGAGTAGTACTACCATGGTATCACCAACATTCTGCATCTGCATTCGCCAAGGATCGGAGGAATTCGCCAAAGGCATGTTTTCTGTCTTCCAGAAGCAAACATTCAGTAAAAAATGTAGTTTTAATTAAAGTAGTGGTTAATACTGTAACTTAAGACAATATATGTTAATTTCAAAGCTTGGGTGGTGTCATAAATAAAATATTAAAACTAGGGAACGATTCGTTTGCAGATTATTTGATTGTCACTTTGTCACTTCTTCATGGTCATTCGTTTCATTGGTCAAATTGGTCATTCAAAAACGTCACAGATGTGTCATTTTAACAGAAGATTAAAAATATATTTTACAAAGACATTATAATAAACATAATCTAAATATCCGACCACCTTACCGCACCTTACAAGTTATGTTTATTGTATTGTATTATTATATCAAGGTTAAGTTATCCGAAGGATTTGAAACCCCTAAAAATAATTATAAAAAAGAACATAAGACAAATAAAAGATTCCAAATGGGACAGCTTATGAAAGTGACAAAACTTTCTATAGGTTTTCTTGGGAATAAGGTTTTTTTCCTTTTTTTCCCAAATATGTCACTTAACAAAATATTTTACGATATTTACTTGAGTATGAAAAATTTTTTTAAAAAGGATTCAGAAACATACGTGCCAATAGAAAAAGTTAATGTTGATAACACAACAAGTAGAATAATAGGAGATTTCGGAAGATGGCAGTTGAAAATAAGCATCCTCATGTCGTTAATAAAGTTACCGATGGCTTGGTATCAGTTAAACATAATATTCATGGCACCACCGCAACAATTTTGGTGTGCAAAGCCACCAGCTTTTGAGGAGTACACTGACGAAGAATGGCGTAAAATTAGCGTGCCGGTAAACTGAAACACGTGTATTTAAAAGGGTATAATTGTATCTTCACTATTTTATGGAGCAGTGGTAGTTTTTCAATCTTTATTTATGACCTACAGGCTGAAAAACAGTGGCTTAAAGCAGTCCAGCCTCCAATTCGGGCATTTTGAGAAGTACCCACATTTTTCAATATGCCTACTTTCAGAAATAACATTCCAAGATACCTTTTGTAATTTATGTATTTATCATTTACTGGCGTTGATTATTGACCAAATAATAAACCTGTTGTACTGTTTTAGCAAATAATGGAGTATCCATGTCTTATATTTGACCCAGATATTCTACTTATTGCACCGAAAATGGACAGACATGTTATACCTTTAGTGGCATGCCAAAAATTTGTGTATGACAAAACGTTTTTCCAACGAACTCTTACTTCAGATTTTGGTCTAGTGTGCACAAAACGTTGGTATATTAATGTGAGTCTCTTACACTTCTGTGTGAAAATCTTATACTTTTGACATATAGGTTTATATGTGTTACTTAATGTATAATTTTTAAATGATAATCCTCAGATGAGCCAATGTGTTATGATGACCGGAATAGTAGTAGGGGGTATTGTATTTGGAAGCATAGCAGATAAATATGGTCGCAAAAAGCCCCTCATGTTAGCTATTGTTATTCAAGCAACAGGCAGTTATTTGGTATCATTCGCGCCCTATTACTGGTCATTCCTCGTGGTTTGGTTTATTTTAGCGTTTGGGTGCGGTGGTATTGCAATAATTTCTTTTGTTATATGTATGGAGGTAAGTGAAATAGGGTTTTATAAATTTTTACTTTCCTATTTTATTGGAATACAGAATAAATACACCAGTGGAAATAGGTCATGCGACTCCTTGATACAATACAAATACAATAAATGTGCCTTGCGAGAGTCTTAACTAATCGTAGGAATTAAAAAAATTACAGAAATTTGATGAATGGAGCCCATATTTTGAATTTTTGCAACAGGTAGTCAGTGGAAGATGGCGTACATACATTCCTGTATTATACCAGCTACCCTTTGGCTTGGGGAATGTTGTATTGGCACTATTTTCATACTGGTTAAGAGATTGGAGAAAAATAGAATTCGCTTTAGCAACCGTATCATTAATATACCTGCTTTATTGGTTTTGGCTACCGGAATCGCCCAGATGGTTATTAGCGGTTGGAAAATATGACGAAGCTGTTGGTAGGAAATTTGAACTTTTTTAAAATTAGTTGCATAGTTTTAACTTTTGGGGGCGGGTTACTTGGATCGCCAGCCTAAGACGGCAAGAGACCTCAAGATTACAGCTCAAGACGACCCGCAAGTATAGATCTTCGAAGTAACATCATATTTTTTTATAGAAGTCCTTAAGAAGATTGTTGTAGAAAACAAGAGAAACGTTGGTGATATTCGTGCAATCGTAGCTTTATTGCCTAAGAAAAAGAAGAATGACAAGTTACATTTACAATTCTCAGATTTAATAAAATCTAAAAATATGCGACGCAAAACAATAATCCTTTCATTGATATGGTAATAAATTTACAAGTTCCTTGGAAAGTACATTAACATTAGGTTTTAAACTATATTTGTTAACTTTGTTTCAGGTTTTTTACGGGGCTGTCGTATTTTACATTCTCTCAATACCTTGGTTTGATTGGATCAAGTATATTTTTGTTAGTGTCGATGAGTGGTATTATTTCGATACCCGGCGGATTACTGTGCTTGTTTATTTTAGCTAAACTTGGACGGAAGACGACGTTAAATCTATTTCAAATTCTTGCAACCGTATGCTTTTTCGCCATTTACATTTTTCCGAAGGAGGATGTGAAAAAAGCTGGCATCAGGTTATTCTTTGCTGGATTAGGATTCGCAGCAATAGCGGTGAGTTTGTGAGTATGGGAATAATAAAAAAAATAGCATTGAGACCGCTTTATATCTTGTATTTTCAGGGTACAGTTCCAGCTTTATATTTGTATAGTGGAGAATTGTTCCCTACAGTGGGCCGAAACGTAGGCGTTGGTGGAGTAACAACATTTGCACGTATTGCGTCAATGATCGCACCGCTTCTTGTTCATTTAGATGTTTACATACCAGGATTACCATTACTATTAGTAATTCTAATTTCTGCAGGCCAAGTATTACTTGTATTCCCACTTCCCGAAACTAAAAATAAACCGCTACCGGATTCTTTAGAGGAAGCCGAACAATTTCGTTGAACTAGGAAAATCTTAAGCAGAACAAAACCTTCAAATATTCACATAGATTTTGGTATCGCATCTTGTAATCCTAACAAAAAAGTTTGTTTTTATATTTATTCCTTTAATTCGATTTTAAAAATCCAACTTCATTCTTACGTAGCTTAATTCTTACATAAAATAGTACCGTATGTTAATCAAAATTAATTTTTACTTGTGTTAAGGATGTTTTTGATAAGCTTATGTGGTATTTGGGCATTATTTATTTTTCAGATTTTTTTGGTGTACTTACAAAAATTGTTTTTAGAATATATACGTTTCCGTTTTAATCTTTATAACTTTATTAACTGTTTATTTTATATTATTATAATGTTAAGTTAAATTAATGTTATTGTTAATATAAAAGTTTAAGATATGTTGGAAGTTTTTTTCCCCTCTTAACTATTAAATCATTGAGATCACAAAAGAGCAGGATGTATTATTTGACTTTCTAATTCATATTTATATGAAATATAAAGGTACCTTTATTTATAAAGGTATTCCAATAAGAGCATAAATATATAGGGAAATTATTTTTATTTATTAGATCACAAAAATATGTACATAGGTATTACATTTTTAAAACACTACATATATTTAAGTTTTTTTTATATATATAATTGTGCACAACATTACACATACACTAATTAAAATGTACTACTAAATAGTTATTAAGTTCCTATAAGTTGTTACTTCCCAGTTACATGCAGATGTACAAAGACCTAATGTGTCAGAGATCAGATTTTCAAAGTCACAGATAATCTATATTACTCTACACATCTATTTACGAAGGTAATAAGACTATATAATCAAAAAGGAACTATACATACTTTTCCATATTGCTTAAAGCAAAGCTTAGCTTTTTGGTTTGCTTCTGGACATTAGTGCCCAAACAAAATTACTTCTTAATTGTATCTTTACATTCAATAAAATGAGAGCAAAAAAATATGGAAAACATCTAATAGTATAAAATGCACAGAATAAGTATACAAGATATAAAAAAGTATTCAATATAGTTGTACTATTTAAAATGCAATCAAAATATTAACTGTAAAATACGAATTAGTCTTTCTTCTCTTCAGCAATTTTGGTATTAATGTTTTCTATTCTATGGAGCAAAGTTGGATGGGAGTGGTACCATGCTGAATACAGTTTATCATAGATCGGATAGTCCAAGTTATCCTTACCTAACTTAATTAGAGCGGACCTAAGTTCATTTCCATAATTCAAGTTAATAGCAAAGTTGTCAGCTTCAAACTCAAATTTCCTAGAGAGTGCAGTTACAAAAAATGACAATAATGAGTTGTATGGAGCTAGAATCAACTGCAAGACAACTAACAAACCAATTACAATTGGCTTCTGACCAGGAGGAAAACCAATTGCAGTATACAACATAGGGTATTCAAAAAGAAAATCAAATGCAGTGAACATCAAAAGTAAGTTGACTTCAGTTAGGCCAATAGATTTATAAATATGGCTGCAACTCCAATGTCCAAGTTCATGAGCCAAGATTCCCAATATTTCCTGATCAGTACATCCAGTGGTAACATTCTTTGTTTCATCATGGCTTAATAACAGTGTATCAAACAATACAATTCTTTTAGCACCTAAAAGTCCACTGAAATATGCATTGCTGTGTGCTGATCTTTTTGAACCTTTGACAATATAAATTTGAGATAGCGGGAAATTCAGCTTAAGAGCTAAATCTTCAATTCCTTTTCTAAGTGCATTTTCAGGTAGAGGTACAAACTTGTCAAACAGTGGTGCAATAACTGTTGGGTATAATGCAAGTAGTAACAGAGTTGTTACTGTTGTGAACAGCCACAGCCAAACAACAAACATGTTTCCTCCCAACATAATAATGTACAACGAAATTGATATCATAGGCAGAGAAATTACAAGGGTCAGTAATAGTGATTTCAACTGATCCTTTATAAAGAATAGAGCTGTTTGTTTATTAAATCCATGCTTTTCCTCCAGTACAAATGTTCCATAAATTTTAAAAGGCATATTCGTAATGAAATTAAATAGTGTAGCAAATGTCATAAATATACAAGTGATAAGAATTTCTTGATCAAGTGATATATTTAAAGCTTCTGCTATCATCTCTGATTTGTGCCATCCAACATAAATCCAACGTTTGTACAAAATCACTGATGTTAAAATTATCTCATACAGTTCCTTGACAATTTTATATTTTGATTTATCAATGCCATACAGACGGGCCTTGTTTATAGATTCTTCATTCAATGTCTCCTTCAGCTCATCGGGTATGGTATTGTTAGTTTGGTATATTTTGAGCTGAAAAGACAAAAAAATGTAATTAATAATAGAACATAAAAATGGTAATAAAACTGGATCTATGAATTTGGAAGATAAAAGTACTGTTCTGCGATACTTTTTATAATTCGATTAAATTTTTAGATCAGATAACATAGGCTATAATTTGTAAGACACTTGTGCAATAACAAAATTGTACAGATCACATAAAGATCAACATTATCACCGTGATATAATAATTGACTTGCTACGATGATTACCACGTAACTATATGTATCTAAATACATGTTAACGCATGTACTTTGTAAACCATGAGGCCTTTTATTTAGATTGTGTTCAATAATATACATAATGAAAGAAATATTACCTGCCGCAATGTGAGGTACAATTCCCATAAGTACTCTGCCCAAGAAAATAATAAAATAAGAAAAATAATTAAATCTTCACCCGAAACCATGATGTGTGATTAAAAAAAACTGTAACTTAATAAATAGGTTATAACTACGACGTAGATAATGTGTTTCCAAGACTTTAATACTAAATCAGCAAATATTGAAAACTATTTGTAAAGCCGAAAACAAGAATCCTTTTCCATTCCAATCAGATTCCAATCGATCACAGAGTACTTTGTAACATACTGAAATAGAGACCAATCTTCGGCCTTAAATTGGGTAACACGAAGAAAAGCGCCATCTGTATTTCATAGTTTACAACTTTCTTTCTTTCTTGTTTTGTTTTTTTTTTTTTTTAATGAAATGCGGCAAACGA